TTATAACAGACTTTGCGCATAAATCCTTTCAAGGTTTTGGCTAATCGGGGTAATAAATGATAAAGACAGTATTTAAAAAAATTAAACAATAAATTGATTTCTTAAATTTATTTAATAAATTTAAATATAAAGAAGAATAAGAAATGCTTAAACTCATATATCATTTCAAATTTATTTATTGTCTATTTGTATCATATTTTATGATTCAATAAACCTAACTATATGAAACATTTTAATCTGACAACGCGTTTGGTTGATCATTTTCACTGTAATGTATATTTTTTTATATGATCAAGGTATTTTATATATTCCTGCAAAATGAGAATTTTTATAGTCCTTAACATTTTTCAAGATTTGTTTTACTTTTTTAGAATAAAATAGTAATAAGAAGAATATTATGGAAACAAACAAAAAAACATTTTTCTATGAGTAAAAAAAAACAACAAATCAAATTGATATATTAGAACTCTTTTCAAGTCCCCCTTCAAAAAATTATTATAGTAGATTTTGATAGAAGATATTATAGTAGATTTTGAAGAAATCTAAAGATTCTTAGTTTAGTAAGAATATATTTTGTTAGTAAAAAAGTAATATATTGAGAAGACTGACAGATTGGCCAACAAAGACAGAATTAATTTAACTTAATTAATGACAGAATATTAACAGGATGTCACATCAAAAGATTTATATAATTATCATTATTGAAATACAATAAATCAGAATTACTAAATATCTTTTGATAAAACTAACCATACAATATAACCACAACATTATATTTTCTAAAAAAATAAAGGAAAACTCTAGATACAAAAATATTTCAACAATTTAAAGACAACAGTTAAGTAAAATATAATATATAAATATAAAATATAATATAATAAATATATAAAGTAAAATATAAAAAAACCAGTTTCAAACTTTATCAGCCAATTAATTTAAAATAAATAATGAATTGTACAAGTGTTGATTTTCATTCATCTCCTCTTATCCTTGTGGATTGTTTTCTATATATCTTTCAAATAGAGTATACATAAGTAAAATTTCTAAAGAAATAATTCAGTGTTAGGTTGCTGTCTGCTTTAATAAAATAAAATGCAATATTCACAAAATATATTAGTATAATACATTTTAACATAATAAAACTCTAAATAATAATAATAATTTAGTATCATAAATTTTCAAATCTTGTGAAGTTTTACCTTCCATGAAATTGAGAACTAATACTTGTTGTTTTTACTCGATTCGGTGGTTCCTCCGCACCACTAAGTGACTCAAAAGCATTCTTTAAATATTTTTCTCTGTGACTTTGTTTAGTAAGCTGATCAAAACCTTCTGAACTAGCTTCAGATAACATAGATAATGGATTTCTTTCGGCACTTGGAGTTGATGCACCACCTTCTGAATCAGATTCATCCTGACTGCCAGATGCAGTCAATTCATTTGTCTGACTGTTCTCTATATTCTTCATTCTTTTCTGACGCTTTTGTGATCTGTATACAATATATGTTTTGCACTGCTCAATAAAAAGACAATAGGATCGAACAGAGTACATATTGAATTGAAAACAAACCTTCGAAGTTCTTCAATGTCCATCGCATTAACGGTAAATTGATTTGACACAATATCTTCTGGTGGGGGATAGTACATTAATCTATGTGATTTTTCAGAACTTGTAGTTCCATTTTCTCCTTCGGAATAATCTTCAACATCTCCGTCATGTTCAGTACTTTCATGATCCTGAACGATATATAACATGTTAAATGGATAAAAATATGATAAGCTATTATTTATTAACAATATTGGCGATAAAATGATAAACATAGAAAACTCATTATAATATGTAAAACAATAACATTAATTGAGAATATAATTTAAGTAATAATAATTTATAAATAATTTAAGTAAAAATATTATTTACACAATATATTTGTCACATATGTACGCATACGCGCGTGCACGCACGGACACGCATATACACACATATATTTTTAAAGAAAAATAGCTTTATAATTTTTTAAAGATTAATTTTAAAAAGATTATTTCCGAGTATATTTTTTAAAAATGTTTCACGTTTTTAAAAGTATTGATGATTAGATCATGAGACGTTCGTATGTAACAGCTATTCGTAATTGCGAACGAAATAGCAGATAAACCAGTAAGATATAGAATACTAGAAAAGATATGTGAAGATATGTAAAAATGTGTAAATAGACAACAGTTTTGAAATCGAGAGAGTTTCTGAACAAGCAATATAACTTACAAGGGGAAGGCGCGGACTTGGGATCACTGATTTTGAAAAGGCTTATATATGTTAAAGTACTCTACTAGAAGAGTATTTGAGCAAAAGGATAGGACGCCATATACTCAATTGTTTTCGAGAAAAATCGGTTTAAAGTTTATAGCGTTCCTTATACCAGCCGCGTTTTCAAAGCTTATTGTCGCCAAGGTCGCGTAGCTCGGGCGCTCAGCCCTGTATTACCGATCTGTCGACTCGGGCTCGATTCCTGCTTATTTACACTTTTTTTTAATCTAGAAAATATTTATTTATTATATTATTATGTTAAATATGTATTATATTATTATGCAAAATAAAATTAATTAACAATTGTTTTTATTTAAAATTTTCACTTTTAACTTCAATTCACTTTTAACTTCAATTAATAATTTAAAATAGTTATTATAGTTAATAGTTATTATAGTTATTATTTAATGTAAGAAAATTTTATTCATTGTAATTTTATTTGGTCCGTAATTTTTTACTCAACGTTAAGTTACTACTCACTGCTTCGACCCTAATATTTGTATATTTGTATACCTAATGTTCTCAGGTAATAATTTTTGATCTCCCTTTCAGACTACTTCTCTACTGTAACGTATATCTGTACATAAAGTAGTTTGAAATCCCGTCTGATCATTCTGTTCTTGAACAAAGGCAATGAGCGCAAGCATTAATAATTGTTAAATTAATCATTTCAAAATTTAATTAAAATATACTATAAAATATACTATTTTAAACCATGTTAAAAGTGGCATTTTATTAATTTTATATCGGATAAAATATGTAAAATAATTTAATATGAATAAAAATTAGGTTTAGTAAATTATTAATTGAAGTTAAAAGTGAAAATTTTAAATAAAAACAATTAAATTAATTTTTACATAGTAATATAATATATATTTAACATAATAATATAATAAATAAATATTTTCTAGATTAAAAAAAATTGTAATAGGCAAGAATCGAACCCGTGTCGACAGATTGGTACTATAGCGCCCGAGTTACGCGATCTTGGCGAAAATAGGCTTAACGCGACCGGTATATAAGAAACGCTATAAACGCTTTAAACCAATTTTTCTCGAAAACAGCTGAGTATGGCGTTCTATCCTTTTGCTCAAGTATTCTTCTAATAGAGTACTTTAACATATATATAAGCCTTTTCAAAATCGGTGATCCCAAATCCGGGCCTTCCCCTTGTTAGAGCGAAGAAAAGCGAATTGTAAACTTGTCAATAAAAGAATTTTGACCGAGTCGATTATCTATTTCAAGTTCGTACAAAAAAATATACCTCAAATTTGAAGCTGCCGAGACTACTATCATCGGTTTGATGACGATTTCTTGATTGACGTGTCAATTCCGTAATATTACTTCTTATTGTCACCTTATCATCGAGTATCTATGTCAATAAGCGAAATAAAATGTGAAAATAATAAAATAAGCAAAAAATGCAATTTAATAAATTTATAAAAAATAAAATACTTTAAAAAAAAACAAAAGCAAAGCTAAATAAAGCAAAATAATTAGTGAACAAAGATATATTTATTATCAAAAGTAATAATACATGCAATCTAATGATATTCATGTAATTTTATTAATACCTGTTTTGTTTCAGTTTCTATCTCTCTATATCTTTTGGAACAAGATTTTTGAAATATATTTTCCTGTTCTTCCTAAAATCAATTAAATATTAATAGTTTTTATATTAAAGGAATTTTTTGTATTAATATACAAAAAAATATGACAATATTAATTATGTTATTTAAATCATCATAAATATTATTAAAAAATAATTATATATCTTTACGGAAGAGAATAAACTTGGAAATATATATAAACTACTTTTAAAACTTATGTAGTTTTCTTGTACATTTTAGACTATACAAATGATATTTGGATATGTTTGGATATATTTAAAAAAATGTTCGCAATCTGAACAATTAGAAAACGATAATTAAGAAGTAATTTATAAAATTTCTTTTAAATCTTTATCAATTTTAAATCTTTATCATTTGATTTGTTACATAGTAGTATTGATCTAACAAAAAAATTAAATTATTGCAAAAAAATATGAGATTGTTTAATATTGAATATTATGAAAAAAATCATCAAATCTTTAAAGTATTTTATTGTAAAATCATATTTTTTGATCTTTATAACTCTTTGTAAAAAAATTTACAAAAATAATTTTCATAATTCTTATTTTAATTTGTTTAAATATAAATAATTTTTTTATTTTAAATAATTATTTTATTAAAAGTTATAATCAAAATGGCAAAAATTGTTTTTCAAATCATAATTAACATTCAGCAAATCTTTATATAAGAAAGGGCATTAATAATCAATCAACAATCAAATATAAAATAAAAATTAAAAAAGATGAAGAAACGGATGTATTGAATATTAGAACATTATTAAATATTGGGAAAAAAAACATAAAAATAATAATTTTATAACTGCATCTTTCATCTTAATTACAACTTATCTATCGCAAGTTGTTTATTGCAATAAAAGTGTTTTTGAAATTTTTTTTACCAACCTGTTTAATAATTATCATTTCTCGTTGATAGTCATTGCTACATTTTGTTTCTGTGCCACTATCAATAGAGCTATCCTTTGAGCCACTCCCACCACCGCCGCCGCCATAACCACCATCATTCGAATCAACGATGCTACGCGATGAAGGAAATGGTATTATTTCATCACTGTCATATACGGACTTTACAGTGATACCGTCACCTTGCTGAACTCTTTGTGCCCATCGTCCTTTTGGTAGATCAACACCAAGAGATCTAGCATTTGAACTCAGCACTACACTATCATCAACATTTGTGGTATTTATTTGCTTTTTTGCCCATAATGGTAACTGACCAACGCTAAATCTATAATCCACACCGACATTCTGAGGTGTTGAATTGACATTAGGATCAAGAAAGTCCGATGGAGGCGATCCAAAAGTTTCGTTATCTAATTGTATGTCAATCTCGTCACCATTGACTTGGAGTGGTCTTCTGTAAACACATGTGAGAAAACGTTTATTTTAGCTAAAACAACAATTAAGTGTAATATTATGCAAACAAAAAGAAAAAAGATTACTCACTTGCCGGCACGCATTGCTTGTTGAGCCAAACGAGCTTGCATAGTTATAACCATATCATGCGGAACACGCCATATGAATATGCAGCCGTCGCCACTAGCAGAAACAAGATGACGACAATCTGGACTGAAACGCAAACCAGTCACCAGTTCCGAGTGACCAACCATAGTGGCCATACATTCACCACTATAATAATCATATACACATAGTGTTTTATCTGTACATGAAGTAGCTACATAAATACCAGATGCATCTGAAAATTGTTAAGTGAGACATCTTATAGATTATTGATTAAAGTCATTTAAAAAATTTGTAAATAAAATTCACTATTCTGACTTCCTCCAAATAAACAGAAATAGTAAATAAATTTTTTATTTCACCAATAAAAATGTGATTTCAAGAATAAAGTTATTATTTTCAGTTACATATTAATGTTTAACAATTTTATTAATGTCTAAATGTATTAATTTATACTGTTTCAATATATAATCATACTTTATATTATTAAAAATATTCCTAATATTTTTGTATTTTTTATATTTTTAATATTTATATTATTAGTATTTTTGTATTACATTTTTCTTTCATTCTTATTAAATAAAATTATTCTAAATCAATAAGATTGTAACTACATAATAAAATATAATGCCAATTGCAAATCTTAAAATATAAAGATTAGATCATTTTCAAAATAATATTTAATAAAAATAATTATTAAATAATACTGATTTTATTTTCTCAATATTCTATGAATTTCATAGAATATTCAATTTCATTATATGTGAAAAATTCTAAACTCTTTTGAAAATGCTAAATAAATTTTTGTATAAAATTATTTATATTAATGATAAATTTAATTTTATGATTACTACTAATTTGACTATAAAAAAAATGTTTTATTATTTTTGTGCTGCACATTTGTTATTTAGACAGAATTGAACAAATATTAAAAATGAAAGAAATCTTTGATTCTAATATGTTACAAATATGCAAATTTAACAATCATTATCTAAAGAAGACTTTACATGAATTAAAAAAATATTTAGATATTGCTATTAATTCCTTCGTAGTATAACGGAAATGAAGTTTTCATACTACCGCTGTGTAAAAAAAAAGTTTCTTAGATTTTCATATTTTAGTATTAAAGTTTTTGAAGTCGCTCAATCCGAATATCAGAATTTCACAATTCAAAATGGCGAATCAAAATTTGAAAAAATAATTGAATTTTTATAAAAATGATTATTTTGTTTTTAAGGTCACTGAATCCGAATAATGGAATTCTTATAAAAATGATTACCATATAAATTAAATGGGAAGAAATGAGTACATAATTCCAGACAAACAAATTAGAAGAGCTATAGAGCAGACTTAGAGGTCATCCTAAAGAAAGTCCCATCCAGATTTTACACCAATTATTAACTTAGAAATGGCGGACTAATTTGTTAATGACATTATTATAGAAGCTTATGAAAGTAATTGTCCTCTTAGGCTGAGAAACATTTCAACCAGGATTTCTTGGTGGAATAAAGAGCTCTCGGAATTTAGGTTAGAGACAAGAAAGCTCTTTAATAGAGCAAAAAAAAAACAAAACTAACGAAAGATTGGAAAGAATTTAGAAGCTCCCAGCGCAGGGTACAGCAAGGTGATTACTGTTTTAAAAAGGCAAAGCTGGAGGAAGTTCTGCAAAGAGGTCGAGAATGCCCCAGACTAAGCAGGATCCTCAGCAAGGAAGGATTTTCCTATTTGGGATGCCTCAAATAGAAGATTGAAAACTCTCAAATAGAAGATTTACCGAATCAATGGTCGAGACGCTGAGACCCTGATGTCTACGCACTTTCCAGGTTTCAGGGAGGAAATCGTAGTCTCATCAGGGAGATTCAACTAGGGTTTATAAGCCCAGGGAATGATCCCTAGCAGCAAAAGTGGTTCACCCTAGTGAATCGAATAGGCTGTCAAGTCTTTCAAACCTTACAAGGCCCCAATGAAATTTTTTTTCTATACTTCTCAGGAAGAGACTGAATATCCTTAAAGATCTCTCAACAAAAATATTTAGGGCCGGCATAACTTTAAGACGTGTTCCTCAGGCTTGGAATGGGACAAAAGTGATATTTATACCAAACCAGGCAGAAACGGCCATATTTTGACTAAGGATTTTAAACTCCTAGGGTGGAGTCATAGCTAGAAACAAAGGACATTAGGAGTCTTTCTAGATATTGAGGAAACTTTTCAGCTCGTTCAACTTGACAATATCTCCAATAAAACTATTACAGAGGCGATACGATGATCATAAGTGGAATTCCTGGAACCCTTGTAGATTGGATACGGAACATGCTGCCGAGCAGAGATCTGACCGTCAGCATCGAGAAATAAAATGGTCAGGGGGTTGCCGGCCAGTAAGTCCCTGCTCCGCAGGGAGAGCTCTTTCTCCCTTGTTGTGGTGTCTGCTAGTGGGCAATCTTCTGACAAAACTAAGAAGGAAAGACTTCCTGATCTGTGGCTATGCCGATAATGTGGTCAGGGGCAACTTCTTTTCGGTTCTCAAGGAATGGATGGACGTTGCCTTGAGAATTATACAAAATTGGTAGATCATAAGCCTATCGGTAAAGTCATCCAAGCTCTCTCAGCTGTGGTCTTCACCAAGAAACCGGAAACTCCGAGAATCTTGAAACTCTGGAATACGAATATTGAATACAACAGATCGGTTAAGTATCTGGGAGTTATCCTAGATGCTAAAGCTAGAAACTTCATCTCGAAGAAAAGAGGAAAAATTTTACACCACTCTATGGGCGTGCAGGAGAGCCACGGGCAAGAGCTAAGGATTAAAATCCAGAATGACATTGTGGTTATACAAGATGGTATTACTACTGACATATGCGTCGATCGTGTGGTGTAGAGAGGATGAAGGCAAGAAAGACTGCTCAGAAGCTTATAAGGAAGTTACCTGAGGACAGCGACAGGAGCTATGAAATTCACTCCGTTGGAAGCGCTGGAAATAGTGCTGCCTCTGGATTTTCCGCTTCTGGATTGAACGATTATCATTATAACCAGGCAAACAGCATACAGACTTGTCAGGCTGAATGGAGAATCACCGGACTTTGTCATATGAGGCTCGAGTTCTTACAGAAACACCCTTTCACTTTAAGGCAAGACAGGATGCCGAGGAAATACCAGTTGGTAAAGACTTTCAAGATTCCGGTGCCAACTAGGGAAGATTGGCAAAAACCAAATGCCCTCACTGAGGCATTGATCCAAACAGATGGTTTATATATGGACCTAGTCAAAGCTACGAAGAAAGTATCTTGATTGGGGAGATGGCTACCGTTTTTCAAGCTGAGATGCTAGTCATTCTCAGGTGCGTGGATAAATCTCTAGACACCAGGGCAAATATGCTTAGCAATGAGACGGCGGATGGCCTAGCTAAACTAGAACGCAAAAAGATCCGGATGAGTAGGGCATCGGAGTCTCTTTTGCCACAAGGAAAAGAATAATCAAAGGTTTGGCTGAAATTGGAGCATTTAAGCTCTTGGGAGGCGACCACTGGCTGCCGACAGTCCAGACAGTCTAGACTAATGAAAAAACCCTCGTGAAACAGAACAAAGGAATTGCTTACATTGAGCAGAGAGAGAACTGAGGATTTGCATCGGTCTTTCTCTCTCAGGATATGTGGTTCTCAGAAGACACCTGTAAAAATTCGGATTATCCGAACAAAAGAACTGTCGATTATGCAGAGAACGAGGGCAGTCTCCATATTTTGGGATGATGTCCAGCCTTCTGCTGCAAAAGATACAGATTTCTAGGCCAAATTTCTTAAAGCTCGAAGATCTGGTAGAAAAGAGAGTAGGTAATCTACTAAGTCTGGCATTAAATGCTGGGTCTACTCCCATGTGATAATCAGCGGGGAGTCATAGTGGAACTTTTAAATTTAGGTGACTTCAGAGCCTTTCTAAGTCCATCCGCTTACCGTCTACTACTACTAGAATAATAAAATTTTTATATATTGATTTTATATATTGATATTAATTTTTATATATTGATATAATTTTTATATTTTGATTCAATGACTTCAACAATTTTAGAGCACTTATTTTTATAACAATCCAACTATTTTTTAAATTTTATCTGCCATTGAATGCAGCATTTTGAATTTTAAAATTAACATATCATATTTGCATTTGCAGCAAAAAATCTAGAATAATTATTTTTATGACAAATTCAATTATTTTTTTCAAATTTTAATTTACCATATTGGAATTGCTATTTTGAATTTTGAAATTCAGATATATTCAGGATTCAACAACTTTGAAAATCTTAGAATAATCATTTTATCATTATAAAAATACATTTTTTCTAAATTTTAATTTGCCATTTTGAATTTTGAAATTCAGATATCATATTTGAATTTAGCAACCTCGAAATTTTAGGATAATTATTTTTATAAAAATCCAATTATTTTTCTAAATTTTGATCCGCCATATTAAATTCGCCATTTTGAGTTTTGAAATTCTGATATTATATTCGAATTCAACAATTTCAAAAATTATATAGGATGCCAAGTTTTATTCAAATTGCAAAAGAATAAATCTTTTCTTTTTTTTTATTATAGATGTGTAAATATGCTACATGCACTATGAAGGCGTTAATAAATTTTTCAATATTATAATAAAGTAACGGTATGTGACTAAATTATATATTATTCATCACACTATAAATTATTTATTTTACCTAGGACAACTTTGATCAGCGAACCATCATCACTAATAGAGCCTTTAAAAGTTTTACTATGTTTACCCGTAGTGACATTATAAACTCGAATATTCCTATCTTGACAGGCAGTTAACACATGTTTCTGTCCGGAATCAACTTCCATATCATATAAAGTAGTCTTTCCCTGAGCATTACGACCTCTAGCGAATTGCATTCCAGCTGATGTCTAAAAATATGAAAGATATGATATCTTAATGAAGTGTTACATTATCAATTATCATTATCAATTATCAATTAACATTATCAATTATCAAACAGGATTACTCACTGATTGCAATTGCCTAAATATTATACTTTTATCTGCACCACAAGATACCATCTGTGTTTGATTATCTTGATTCAATTGACTGAAAAATCTAACTGCAGTAATGGAAGAACTATGATCATCGAGAGTCTGCAGAAAATTGTATCCTTGATCGACACTAAATACATGAATTAATCGATCGCGAGATGCGCTCGCCAATAATTTAGGAATGTCTAATGAATGTCGCGAGAACCTGGAATATTCTAGACATAACACCTCGGCATCGTGCGCCTCTATTAAGCATAATTCTTCTAGTGAAGAAACATCATGAATTCTGATGTTGCCAGATCTGTGAAAATATTACACGAATATTATATATATTTTTTCATATTATATCTTTTCTCAATTATCTATCAAATGGATTTTTCTTTTTATTTTACCTATCTCCAGAAGCAAGGTGTTTGCCATCAGGAGCTATCCTTATCGATCTTACACCATTACGACCATCGTAAGATGCGTCATTCTTTTCAGATCCTGCGGCAGCTAAGTCCAAATCCTTCAGATAAGTCAATTCTGGATCTATATACAATACTTTGAGCAATTCCTATCAATGAAAAATAAAGAGTATTGAGAAAAAGAATAAATAAATATAAAAAAGAATAAATAAATATAAAAAAGAATAAATAAATAAGAATAAATAAATAAAAGAATAAATAAATAAATAAAAGAATATTGTAAAATATAAATTTCATTGTCTGTAGATTCATTTTGTAAAGTATCTGTTAGATTCTGTTAGTCTTTACGAAAGAAGAAAGATAGTATACACATGACTATATACTGACATTGCTATAAATATTTCGTTTGTATAAGGTGTCATTTGGCAAGATATCCTTCTCTAAATTCCAGATCCTTATCGTGTCGTCACTAGAACAAGTGATGAAACTTCCAGATGGCATTGCACCAATAGAATCTGAATCAATCGGATACATTTCGACACCCCAGATGCAAGCTGAATGATATAAGAACGAGTGTGACTTGCCGACTCGTTTGATATCTCTTACGTCCCAAACATAGATACTGTGATCATTATATATGCAGGTTAATTTGTTATTCCGTTCGTCGAACGCTAACGCAATTGCATCCGGATATCTTGCGTTAGGCGGATGTTGAGACATATGGCTAAAAAGAAGTAAATAAAAAATACTATTATAATAAAGAATTGTGAAAATACGTCCTTATTATAAAATAGTAACCTAATCGATAATCCTTGTGCAACATCAACTCCTAAATAATGTGTTCTTGGTAGTGTTGTGATAAATTGAAGTGTGCTGGGACTAAAACATCTCACGATGCCTTCGGCACATCCAATAAAAATATATTTACTTCCAATCGCTATGCAATTGGCACTACTCGTCTGAAAAAATAGTGATATTTTATTATTAAATATAAATATTAAATAAATTGATCATAATATTAAATAAATTGTTCATATTTCCGTTTTGTGTTGAGTTCTATACAACTGCTATATACAAGTCTATAATTGTTCAAAATAACTTACTCGAAGTTCAACCCATTTATCCAAGAGCCTTCTGTTATTAAATTCGCATAATAGGCCCGTTTTAGTTATTACGTACGTAGAATCTGCCATTTCCCCTCTACCGCAAGATACATCAACAAAATCATTATTTCTCTGTTCTCCTAATATGGCAGATCGACCCATCAAAGGTACAGGTTCTTTATACTGTATAACAAAATATCACATAAACTCTATTTTTGTGTCACGAAAAGAATAAACAATATAACATTTTTGTCTCACGATGAGATGTAAAGCAAAGTTAAGAGCTTACCTTGGCATTACGTGAATATTCCAAATACCAAAATTTGACATGCCTGTTGCCTACAGTAACGAAATAATTGCCATTTTCTGCGAAACAAACAGCCTTCACTTTGCTTGAAACTTTATTAGATGCTATTTTAATATTGTTTCGCCAATCCCAGACGTTAACAATCATGTCATGCTGCGAGCCAACCGATACAACATATTTGTTGCTGGGTGAAAATGCCTAAAATAAAAAAAAACGGGTTTTTTTTTATATCTTATACAATATATTTGTAAATTGAAATGATTTTGGCCTACTAAAGTACACTATTTGAAGAAAAAAGATATACATTTTTTCGTTTGTTTATAAATATGTTACATCTACTCGTAGTAAACTTTACGAGAGAATAAATTCGTAAATTTCGCGAGATCACTTTTCGGCGGAAGAGTGCAGTAAGATTAACAGTTCTTTATCAGTAAACAGACAATATCTCTATTAATCCAAAGTTTTGTCGGATAATTTTATTTTATTGACAAAAGAATCAATTTCCTTGGATGAAAAAGTACAGAACAAGATTCATGAAATTTTATCTTTAAAATGTTTACATTACACGAAATTCAACGCACAGTGAAAATTGTTTGTTTAATAGAAATCTTCGCTCTTATACAAAGTGTGTTCAAAAAATAATGAGAATGATTTTTTTACTTCCCAGAACTTCCTAGAACGGCTGCGTGAGGAAAGTGAGGATCAAGATAAGGAAGGGTTGAAGATCTTAGATATACGATCTGATCGTTTTCAGTTGAATCCGAATCTTTCGGGTATTATATATTACAAAAGTGTACCCTTATTTTTCACTTTCGTCACAGACGAAAAAGAATTTCTATCATCAGGATAGATAGTCAATCAGGTTTTTTATCTACAAGTCTTTGAGCACTGAGGAAAAGAATTTTGCAAGTGCGCCCTAACATTGCCTCCACGTAGATTTTTCATCATGACAATGCGTTGAGTCACATATTATTAGCTATGAGAGAAGAGGAAAACATCTCTACCCTTCCCATTCACTTTATAACTCTAACCTTTGGCACCGTGTGATGTTTCTTTATTCTTCAAAATCAAAACTCACCTAAAAGAACACCATCTTGGCACTATTTAAAATGTCCAGTCAGCCGCGACGAGGGCTCTGAAGAGCCTCTCACATGAAGACTTCTTCTACTACTATAAAAAATGGCAATTTCGCTGGAATCGTTTAGATGCTTAGTTTACATGTGACAGACGTTGGAAGTGAGCATAGCAGCAGTTATCGTAAAAATGGAGAAAAATGAATTCCGTGTACTGATTAAACATTTTATTTAAACATTTTTATTTAAAGAAGTGGACGGCTGCGCAGATTAAAGTTGAATTGGATGAAGACTCTGCACCAGTGTTGAAGACCGTTTATTTTTGGATTAATGAATTCAAAAGAGGCCAGATATCAATCAAAGATGAAGCGCGCCCAGAACGTCACTACGCCAGAAATGATTGAAAAAAATCCATCGTATCGTCATGGAAGATCGCCGAATAAAGGTGCGTGACATAGTTAAGATTGTAGGCATTTCAGTAGATAGGATGCGTAATATCCTACACAAAGAATTAGAAATGAAAAAGCTTTGTGCACGATGGGTGCCGCGATTGCTGATCATCGATCAAAAACGCATGCGAAAAGACATTTCGCAGCAGTGTTTGTCGATGTTTAAGCGCAATCCACAAGACAACTTGGATCCATCACTATACACCCGAGTCAAAACAGCAGTCGAAGTAGTGGACAGCGCCTGGTGAATGTGCGCCAAAGAAGGCAAAGACTATTTTGTCGGCCGGGAAGATAATGGCCACTGTTTTTTGAAATTCCCAAGGAATTATCTTCATTGACTACTTACAGAAGAATCAAACAGTCACAGGAACATATTATTCTACACTTCTGAATCGTTTGTACGAAAAGCTGCAAACGAAACGGCCGAGATTGGCGCACAAAAAAGTCATCTTTAACCATGACAATGCTCCGGCTCACACCTCCACAGTTATAATGGCAAAATTGCATGAATTAAGATTTAAATTGCTGCCCCATCCACTTTATTCTCCTGATTTGGCTCCTTGTGACTTCTTTCTATTTTCAAGATCCTCAAAATCTGTCTCAGGGGAAAGAAATTTTCGTTCGATGAGGAGGTCATCGCTGCTGTGGATGCGTATTTTGAAGGCCTCGAGACTTCCTACTTTCCCAAAGGGATTAAAAAATTGGAACACCGTTGGACTAAGTGTGTAGAGCTCCAAGGAGACTACGTCGAAAAGTGAAAAAGAATTTTCTGGAAAATAGGTGATTTTATTGCTTTTTTACCTGACTTATCGAACGACCCTTGTAAAGATAATAAAAAGAGTATAAATCGAATCACTGTGATTGATATACTGAAAACTATTGTAATAATGAAGAAACGTACTTTTTATAAATAATAAAGAATTATCTGAGTTATGAAATCTTATAATTTTTTATTTATTGTATAAGAATCAGAAAGTATAATTAATACATCTACATGGAATAATAAAAAAATTTGTAATGCAAATAATTAATTTAATCTTATTTGCAGTTTTCTCAACATTCTATATTGTTATTTCCATTTCTTTAATCAATTTTTTTTCTCAACGATCAGTTCGATTAATCATCAATCATGATCTGAGAAAATGTTTTTCTCAGTTGGCAACGCCATACAGACATGCCGCACACGTATAGGCGCGGCGCGGCGCTCATACGAGAATACAAATGCTCGTATGTCGAATGAGAATAGTAAAGGATTAAGCGAGTTCTTCCCTCTTTTTACGCGATTTTATTATACTTTCTATTCGAAATCAAATCAAAAATTTAATACGCCTCCAAGACTAATTCATTTCTCAAATATTCCTTATAAATCATGACATGGCGAGATTGCAGTTTATTATTATTTAATCATCGCGCGATCAGTTATCACTCTGTTATCAGTTATCAGTTTTTTCAATATCTCTCTGTGTCGTAAAAATCATAGAACAAATAATAGTTAATAATAATGCAATAATTTCGTTAACCATTGCTGACGGGAATGAGTATTTCCGCAAATGCAGCAAAAAAAAAGGAATCAATCAGATCTTTTAGCAAAGTAAATCCTAAGTTTATTTTACTTTGTTTATTTACTTCATATGGAGGATTTTCGCAACCATACGCATTAAAGACTGTCTTTTTTCATTACCTGTCCTTTCACATTGCTTACAGCATGTCATAAGTCCATAGGATTATCATCCGATGCATTCTTGAAGTCTTATAGTCACGTTCTCACTTTCTCTCTCTTTCACCTTCTCTTTTATTGTTTGTACGCATTCGATGCTTCCGCAGGCTTAGGTACCGTTCGATGCATCTTTGTTTATGATCACTAATAATCACATAACTTTCTTCTCTTACCTCTTATAGATCCCTATCATACTCTCTTCCTTTTATTTCCGCTTTAACTATTTTAATTTGTTATTTTAATTTGATTCAAGAACAAGTATCAGCTTCTCTCATTAACCAAAGGACTAAATGCACTCATAAAAATGAAAGATATAGAAGAAACGAGCTCGACGCTTAAGACTTTTTTTCTTGATAAGTTAAATTCACAATCGCTTATTCCTTTATATGTCATTCTCACTTTCGATATCCACATCTGACTTTTTCTTGAATTTTATTCCCGTACCTAATTATTCCTCCGTATCTTTCTTCAAGCAAGGATTCTCCCTCAATTTCAACGCATTATCATCAAATCCATATGCTTAATCTTATATTCCCTTATATTCTCCTCTCTATGACGAATTATTTTCTAGGTTAACCGATTTCCTCACATCATCTCCAGAAATCGAGCAATGCTCCGTATCCAGATCATATCCAGATTTTCCCCCTCTCTGCCGAGGTCATCATCTTCTGACGTGGAATTTCTTAGAATAATCCCAGTTCTTCCTCCATAGGATTAATTTAACATCTTACAAACATGCACATATTTATATTTATTATGCTGATCATTATTTCAATCTAAAATTTATTTAATGACAAGAATTGTAACGATCGGATAAGATTATTTTCTAAAAATTCATAAAAATTCTAATTTAAAAAGGAAAACTTTGTTAAAGGTGACTGGTCGTATTTTGATGTGCTTTATACAGGCTGTTCTTGAGCGAAAAAAAACGATATGTGTTGGACCGTTCTTGCCAATGGCTCATAGTTTTGAAGAAATTGATTTTTAAAAAATGAATCTAGTTGGCGCCCGATATACGGGCGAGACGCTTTATACGTTTGATTGTTACCATTAAGCAAGAGCAGTGGTAGTACAGTCAGTAAAACGTTGGCTTTGTATGAGGTGGATCGTGTGTTCAAATTCTGTTGCGTATACTTCTTTTTTTTGTTAAAAATTTGTTCATATTTATAATTATTTACTGTAGATGTTCGAAAAAAATTATTTAATTATATATCTGTTTAATTATATATATCTGTTTAATTATATATATTTATATTGTTTGTAAATAAAATTTTTAAGTAGTTACTGTAATAATTTGAAAAATCTATTTAAAGAAATATTAATATATTTATAAATTTTATTTTGATTTAATGTTAGAAATTCGCGACATCTGTATAAAGTTATGTGAGAGAGGTGGGAACTTGCGTACATACATACATGTATCTTGACTTTTATATTGTTGTAGCCAGGCCTACAACCAAATAAATAAAAGTAGTCCGCATGGCAACAAAATTAGGTTGCACGAACCTCGAAAAGTCTTTCGAAAGATTACACAAATGTGTGATCGCCGAAATCGCGACCAGTCTTTCGAAAGACCGAAGAAATGCATCGCGAAAACATTGCGAAAAAGCTGATCAGCAAATTCCTAAACTTGATGATCAAATTGAGCGTCGAGCGTGATTGATCAATATCACGCAACCGATCGACGCAATCGATTAGAATGCTGACCGGGCATCGATCAGACTATATAACCGATTATACAAGACGGAATAGTCAGAGTCGGGAATCAATCAAACATTACGTGTCGTTCGGAATCGTTATTATAATTATCGCGCAAGATATTACACGAGCACAGCGAAGTTCACTCGAGCCGTACTATCAACGTCTCAGGTGACATACTCGGTCGACGGCCGCCAGAGTAACGCGATACGCGCCCGCCGACGTTTAACCGTGTGTGAAAGAAATAATATAAGCAATAATTAAAACCAAG